TTCCTTGACCCTAAAGGCCACCATTTCCTCTTTAAGCTGTTCAAGCTCGGCCTGTTTCGAGTTCTTCTCCTTCTTCGCTACCTTGATCCTAACCAAGACATCCTCCTTGAGCACCTCTGCTTCTTACCACCCTTGATGAATACTCACCAATGTGGGATACCTCTCATCATAGAAGAGCTTGGTCACTAAGCAAGCCTAAAAAAATGATGAGAGTTGGCGAGGAATAAAGAGAAGCGTTTATAAAAAAAGGAAAAAAAGGCGAACTACTGATACCTTGGTCCTATAGTTGCATACCCAATTCAATAGCTAGGAAGGAGACGAGTCTCTGATGCCTGCATAAGTTTACAGGTTGACAACATCCTTGACTGCCGAGGCCCCAACATCGATATGCTCTAGGAGCTCATAAATCATTTTATCGAGTGCAACTCGAGCTGCCTCATTCGTCACTTTGTCTCTCTGCTAAGGCAAGCTTGACTTACTTCCTACGGGAATGACAGCTTCGCCTGTGGGAACAGATTTCTTCTTGGCTAAGTCCTCAGCCACGGACTTCTTAGGGCCACCTTGTTACTCAGCGACCTTTTGTTTTCCCAAGCTCCAATACGGCTCGGTCGACTTCTTCTTGCTAGAGCCTCATGCTGCCTTGACACTTTTTCTTTGCTTAAGCCATCATGCTGCTTAGGCGCCTTCTGCTTCCCCTAGCTTCCAGTTGGCTCAGAGGTCTTCTTCGCCGAGCCCTTTTAGGACTTGGGGGCACCTTTCTCCCTGACTGCCTTGGGGGTAGTTGTAGGCTTCTTGGCATTTGGGCATTCCCTAAGCTCACCACTGCTTTGTTTGAAGACCGAGCACGAGGCACCCTACCTGACCATTCCAACAGCATTAATGAGCTGCTTCTTCACTGGAGCGATCGATAGTTTCTTGGCAGCTCCGAAAGCCACTGTCTTATTCTTCAGGGCTTTTGGTTTCTCTTCCCACATTTCTACAAAAGAAGAAGCAAACAATTAGTGACCTAAAAAAAATAAAAGAAGAAAGACGAGCAAGCAAGCACTTACCTTTTTCGAGAACAGTGTTGAATATGGGTTCGTTCGCACAAAAGTTGTGTGCCCTCAGCCAAAGAAGTGAGATGATCTTGTTAACATCACGCTCCCTTTCGAAAAGATTGTTGAAGTGCTGAAGCCACGCTAAGCTCACCGCAGGGAGAAAATTTTGCTTGACGTTTACTACAAAACAAAGAAATTCGATTAGCCTAATAATCGAGCTTGGAAACACTCTTCACACACGTAGGGGTCGAAGTCTTACTAACTGCCACGCAACCCGTAGGGGGATTCTTTCAGGAGAAGCCTCCTAGAGCCCTCAAGTTATGTCCAGGCGCATAAGTTTCATTTATGCGCCTAAGATCCTCTGCATCAATCGAGGATTGTGGCTCCTTGCGCGGCCTATGAGCTGTAGACTTCTTTAGTTGAGCGACCTCCATAGAGGCATGGCTAAAAGAGCCCGCATCGGGGCCCGAGATCCATGTAACGACCTCCTCAGAAGCCTCGGGGACTATGCCCCCAAGAACTGCCAAACCCACTGGGGAATCAAACATCGGATCAATGGTATGGCTGCCTGACGAAGACATGACGACTTGCCTTTAGGTACTTGAAATAGAAGCAAACATGTGTTAGAGCTCCAAAACTTGGCGACCTATCCACACTTTTCTCTCAGTTTACGCACCGAGGGTAGCTCACATCGGATGACAGATATACGTGACCAACCAGGGTTTCGGCAGCCACCACTATAAACCCTCCTTAAACCCAAGACCGTTGGAGACACTCAAAAACCCTAGCAAAGCTCTAAAAAGCTCAATGTGACCACGACAATGGCCACCCTTAACCGCAAGAAGGAATAAAAGTAATCAAAGGAGAGGAAAGTAACCTTACCAGAGTATAAAGATGGAAGAAACTCGCCAGAAGAGCACCGTGAAAGCGAAATAGCAACAACAGAGTAAGCACAAAAATTTCTCAACTTTCACAAAGTGTGAAGAAGTTCTGACAATGATTGCCCGCTTTTATAATGGCTTGCATGTGAGACAAAATTGTGGGGTTTGATCGTAGCTATCGATCTGCAGTGAATCTCAGCCCTTCATTCGTCGAGCAATCTTGGCCCTCGGACGTGGCCACGTGTCAATCACCCACGATAGGCAATTAACCGTCAAACTATTGCAATCATAACCTTCATCGCACATCGCCTCAACTTCAAGCATGGTCAGTTGTTGTTGCCCACGCACAACAAAAAGTAACTGCCAAAGGCTATTGCATTTAATGCGACATGACCGCGTAGAAGTTACACATATACCCTTCATTTCAAATTTTGAATTTGTCAAGAATATCACAGCAGAAAAAAAAGCCAAGTGTTAGATACGTTGACTAGATCTGAGTCCGACTCAGAAAGCTTGACCGAATCTGTATTTAGTAAGCAGCTGATGATGTCTGAGCTTAATACCAAGTCGAGCAATAGTCTTCAAAGCTCGAAACGAGCATCGAACTTTAGGGGGCAGATGTTGTGTGCGATTTTTCCATCAAGCTTAGAGCATTGCAAGGTTATACCTCGATCCATAATCAATTTAACTCAATCAATTGTCTGACCCAGCATGAGCTCGTCGAGTTGTAGCTTGACCTAGCATAAGCTAGTCGCAACCAATCCTTACAGTTGTTCAACCAACTCACAAATAACTTTGGATCCCGGATATCTCGGGAGGGATTAGATCGACAACAATCTTGGCGTGATCATAGCGCCCAATCGTGAGAATATCGAAGTTGTATTTCAATCTTAATTGCAATCCTTTTATTTTCGATCTTTCCTTTGTACAAAATCTGTATATAAAACCCCATCAACGATGAGAAAGGGGTTAGCAAATTATTCTAGGATTATCACTGTAAGCTTTCACAGTAAATATAAAAAGCAGTGGACGTAGTCTCAAGAGTGTAACTCGCCGAACCACTTTAAAAACTCACTGTGCCATTTACTTTACTACATTTTTCTTTTTAAACATTGCTGGTTACCCAGAATCACGCACACATTAGTTTCAATCTCGTCAAGGTCGATCAGATCACTCTAGTTGATGTATTTTTGCATCAACAATACTTATTTATCATGTGATTATACTATCAATATATATTCAATGATGGCTGCCTACAAATAAATATCGAAACCCTTGAGTTAGAAAATATTAAAATGAAAAATTGGGATCTATAATATTACTAATGTAGAAATATTATTGTGTATTTGTTGGTTATGAGAAGATAACAGGAATTGGAGAGGGAAGAAGAGGAACTAAGCAATCCAAGTTAAACCTAATTGACGCTGCTGTGATTGTAATAAACTATTATGTCTATATTAATAAGTACAATTAAATGTGCATTGGTTCGGGGTAATAAAAGATAACTCCAGTAATCTATCTTTAATCCGATCATTTCCATGTTTGGGTGTCAAGTAATAAAAGATTCTAATAATTTTCCAATACCAATAATGATTACTGTAGGTAATATGGGGGATAAATCTGGTTATTGGCCGAAAAGGTGGTGTTTTTTTATTACCAGGGTAATCCAAATTTTGTTCATGTTTTACCCTTAATTAATAAACATTTTGGACACAAATGCCCTCATATGTCTACCAAATAACAATTAGCTCAAATGTGCGAAATGACTTCTGTAACCTCATAAATTAATTTTTTGGACATAAATGCCCCTCACTATTTACATGAATACCACCCAAAATAAGTCAGCCACTTAAGAGGACTATCGGTCATCGACCACCGCCGACCGCTGTGGCAATCATCAGAATGGCGCACGATCAACTGGATTTGGCCGACTGTGTGCTGACCTGGTCGAAAACGACGGCCAATTCCATGGCTGATCGAAAATTAATGACCATGGATCTGGCCATCGTTTTTGGCCAGATCCATGGCTCTTGCCATTTCCTGACATGGATTTGGATGAAAACGCCCAGCCAGATCCTGTCGGTCGAGCATCGTTCTAGCGACTGTTGTTGGCGACTGGCAACCGTCTTTGATGGTTGCTTATTTTGTTAAATTTTAAACTTTTGTTGTGGTTGAGGTGTTTTAGCTAAATTATCAAGTGTAGGGGGTTAAAAGTAATACTCTAAATAATAATATTAAAAAGGAAGGGCAATTCAGTAAAAGTCTATCCCAATAATATTTTATTCCTCCTAACCAAACACATTAATTATTTATACCCACCAATTTAATGAAACACGTTTAATATAATATTCCCAATAATTTTCAAGGTAATCTATTTTTCCATTAATATAACATTTCCAATAATACAATATTCCTTAAACCAAATGCTATTTTACTTTTTACCCATTGAACGTTATTTTGCATTCGATTTATCCTAGGTTCTCATGATTCAAGCCCATTTCTAAAGGAGACAACTTTGCCTGAAGAAAATGAGATACGACAAAAATTGAATTTTAGACTTTGAAAGATAAAAGTTAGGCAAATATAGATCTTGGTTTAATCCCTAACAATTGACAAGTGAATATCATCAATCAACAAAATGATCCACATTTTTCTTCCACAATCATCGGTTGATATGCCAAATTTTCTTGCTTCTTGGCCCATATTACATCACCGACATTAGGTGCGTCTTGAATATGTGGCGGCCCTGCTTGACCAATTTCTACCAGCCACCACAAAAAAGGCAAGCAAAATAAACAGCTTATACATCTAACTTGACTTTTCAACCATGTTTTTGATCTTTTGTTCATTATTGAATTTCATAAATTGATATAATCTTTCAAATCTCGGGCCCTTTAATCATCTAATATACATTTAGATACTTAATCTCCAGCTATCATGGATGTGAAGTCAAGACTAAAAGGTAAAAGAAATAAAAAAGGAAAAGAAAAGAAAAGGACAATATGCTTGTAATATTTTTTGTTTTTTTCTCTATTTACTACTAAATTTTTGGTTAAAAATTCTAATATAACAAAAAGAAGCCTCAAGGTACTCTGTGTCTCTCAAGAGCACTATAAGTAACTGAATTTTTCTTCGTTCTCGTTTGAGGATTGCTCATTGGCTTAACCTTGCAAGGAATTGTATTAAACGTTGAGGGGCGCGGACAAGTCCTAGGCCGCGAAGAGAAAGATGCACACTCCGCCGCCGATCTCTGATTCGGAAGATTAGGAATACAATTTCTTGTCACGTCAAGAACCCCACTATCGACCAGATTCTTACACAACGGTCCAACTAGAGTGAAATAATTATTTGACAAAGATAACTTCACCAAACTTCCCGCTGCACACAACACTTCAGGCACCTGCCCGTATAGTAAATTTCCAGCAAAGTTGAGCTGCTCTATCTTCCCCAAACACCCTAACGAGCGTGGTAATGGACCAGTTAATAGATTGTTACTAGCATCAATAACCGTAGCTTCTTTCAGAAACCCTAGTTCATATGGGAGACAGCCTGAGAGTAGATTATTCAAGAACAAAACTTCCTGTAACGTTGCAGAAGCCTTGCCGATGCTACTTGGTATTGGACCGGTGAATTTGTTGTTAGCCAAGGTGATATAACGTGCCGGTGTAGAACCCAGAGTATCCGGGAGAGTTTGACCAAAATTATTGTTATTCAGGAAGAGTATTTCTAGTTTTAACAAGAAAAGTTGGGGAGGGACAGGCCCTGAAAAGAAATTATATCGAATATCTAAAAATGATAGGCCACTCATCTGAAGAATTTCCTGAGGAAAAGGACCGGAAAATTTATTGTTACTTACGTCTAGCTCGTATAAAAATGGGAGTTTCGCAAGTTTTCCCGGCAAAAAGCCAGAAAATTTATTGGAATTGGCATGGAAGAGAGCAAGATCCGGTAGTCGGTCGAGGAAGCCGTCAAGAGTTGGGGCTTCGAGGCCAAAGCTGTTGAGATCGATGGACGCAAGGGCGGTGGCAGATTCATTGTCAGGCGGGTGATCACAGTAAAAACCTGTGTAGTTGCATACATCAGATCCAACCCAAGTGCTGGTGATGCCTAAGGGATCAGATGTGATTGTGTCCTTGAAGGTTTGGATAATGGGGTAAATAAGCGCGAGTCTGAGGTCTAAGAAGGATAAGAGGTCTGGTATTAATGGTAGTGGGGGCAATAGAGAGGTTTGAGAATATATACAAAGAAAGCAAGGAAGGAGGAAGATTAGAGTTTTAGTGAAGCGTTTGAAGTGAAAGTTGATGACGGTATCCATTTGATGAATGAAGAGAAGAGAGATGGGAGGGGAAGAGGGTGACTATGAAAAGATTTTGATCTCTGTATTTAATAGTGGCTATCATTTGTGTGGTTGTTAAAGTCTTACTCAATAAAATAGCATATATATATAGATGGAAATTGTGGTAGGTCAAAGACAAGATTGTCAAATTCTACATGTTTTAATTAAATCATATATATTAATTAACCAAATCCATGAGTTCTTGCTTTGCATTTATGTGTAGCATTGGGTCAAATATGATCATCTCAACTAATCTTCGAGATACATTAAACACTTTATAAACCTAATCTTCTAAAGTAAACCACAAATGTTGTAGGTGAATCCAAGTTGGTTTAAAAACAGAAAGTCAATAAAAAAAACAAACCTTCTTGACCATCAGGCCTTGGGGTTAGGTTACTCAAGTTTATTATAGTTTGAACATAATAAATCTCTTGATTATGTACATTAAACTATTTTCTGTGTGATGTTAGTTACTTATTTTCGGGGCTTCAATAACTGAATTCAGGAGTAATACTAATTACATCCTGTAACTTTGGATACTGACACTTGATTCCTTCAAAGCAAAGAAACTACCAACCCCACCACACTTCTGCCATTAGTTTTCGGCATTACTGCTTGAATTCATTTTAAGAAAGCATTGAATAAAGTTTTTTTCTTTGTTAACTAATACAAAAAGAACCATATGGATGCTTATTAAAAAGTTTTAATACAGAAAATATGTGTACTTTCTTTTACAATATTATTCATCATATGAATAATTTTAATTCTTTGTGTTTTTGTAATTTACTTTTGGTGAACTGGACTCCATAACATCTAACAAAGTACCATTATTGACGGTCATTTCTTGAGTACATTTATCATGAAGAAGACATAGATTAACTGAAAAAGAAATATTTCCTCTAGAAGTTTTATTGGTTTTCGTTGTCCACAAACATTGCTTGCGAAAAGAATTGTAGATTGTCCAATTAATAATGTGTCCGCCGTCCAAAGCTGAGGCATGTGTTCACATTATTTTCCAAAAGCAATGATCAAACATTAAAGGAAATCAGTGCGCCAACCAAAGAGAAACAGTAGTGGAAGGAGAATAACATCTTTTTTTGAAACTTTAGTGCCTGCGTAGTGCTACCCTGCTTTCATTGAATTTGTAAGTAGTAATATAGACATTAAAGAATTAGGAGATAAAAATCCAATTGCAATATTGAGGTGCAGTAAGTACTTATTATGAAAGCACTTTTGATGTCTACTATATGATTTGTTTAAAGACCAAACTCGGATATATATATATATATATATATATATATAATTTTTTAAAAATAAATTGTATCATTAAAAGAGAGAAAGAATGTATAGAAAGACCATAAAAAATCAGCCATCCTACCTAATGACAGCCTTGAGATAGAAACAAAAACACAAGCTTAATAGACTAAGAGTCTAATATCCTCTTGTTTATCTATCTTAAACAGACAAAGGATAGGAGATAAAAAGAGAGGATCAAACAAAAGAATATAAAGACAAAGACATCTTATCATAGGATATGCTCTTGGATAGGATCCAAAAAAACCTAAACAAGATTAAGAATGACTATATACAACATCATTCCTACATCAAGACAAGTATTGAGTTAGGAAAACCTATGTTCCTACAGGTGCTGATATCCGTTTCACTACTTTACACCTTTTATTTTTATTATTTTTTAATTTTTTATAAATGTATATAGAAATTAATAAGATGCTATGATGTTCATATTCAAATATGGTGGGTTCATGAATCTGGAAGATTTAAAATCCGAGTTGTTTCAATATACTTGGAAGTATGACCAATCTACACTTCTTATCTTTGAAAAGTTATTTATTTATTTATACGGCGAATCGTTTAACATTTTATGAGGTAAAATGCTTTTGTTGACAGAGATAGTCAAGTGAGAAGAATTATTTCATTTCTTTTATAAGATTGTTGATGTGTTTGGTTCAATATTTGAGCCAAACTTGTTTACGTGTCCAGTAAAACTAAGAAAAATTCTTCAGCCTTGGTCGTTAGTTAAGTTCTTCCTGGTCTCTGTCATTCTGTTAGAAAAACTTTAGTTCTTACTGGTCGTTAGTAGTGTAGAAATTGTTAAGTTCTTCCTTGTCAGGGTTTCACTTTCACAGCTAGTAGAAAAACTCCTAAGAAATTGTGCCTGTTTTTGGTTTGCCCTTCCCTCCACTACTGTATAGTGTCTATGCATGCGTAATCTATAAGACTTTTTTCCCCATTTTCGTATATTTGTCAAGGCCATCAATTCTTTCTTTCTAGAAACCAATAGGTACGCGCCATATCTCTTTGTACACATCTTTTCTTTTACCTGCAAGTTGACAAACTTTTATCTCCACTTTTGTTTTGTATCCAAAGCAACATTAATTTAACATAATTATAATGTGGATTATTAATATTTGTATTCCAACAGACATTAATTTATCGTGATTATATTATCAAATGTTCAATGATCCTGTTCCATGATCAGGTTGACAGACCCAAGGCCAACGACGTTGGTGTATTGCAAATACTGTGTCAACGTTTACATGGCGTCCGCATATTGTCGATTATAAGAGGAAAAGCTGTAGGATACCAATCAACACTCATACCTCAACGTGAGTGATGTTGGGGTATGGCAAATGGAAATTACTGCTGACACTGTGGACACTTTGGCGTAATGTTAGTAAACTCGCATCGGCTTCCGGTCGTCGGGCATACACCAATTCTGGTAGTAGATGTAGATTTATAAATCAACATTATATTATTATCGGTATGTAACTAGTATTATCTCTAATTTCAAGCAGATTTTTTTTTTCCTGACATTAGAGTGAAGAGGCGGAAGTAAGAAACAAAAATTGATGCTGCTGTGATTCTAATAAAAAAGCTGGTTCATTGAGTAATTGAAATACATTAAAAATTTCAATAGCATATACAGTACTTAATAATGATATGATAAAGCGCAAGAATTGTCAACTTAAATATCTCTTGAAGTGTACTACCATCTGAACATTATTGAAGATAAATGGTACAAAGCACAAGAATTCTTAACTTGGAAATCTCTCGCTACCGACAGAACAGTTTTTTGGGCCTCAAGTGCCGACTAACATAAGCCCGTGGAAGAAGATGCTGTCATGGGTTTAAACCCATTTCTAGCCTAGACAAGTTTGTGACATTTCATTTATGGGCTGAGCATTTACTTTTCTCACTATATATATGTATATTATTTATTTTTATTGTTAAAGAAAAAACGCTTGAAACTGGATCGGAACGTGTCTCGGTCAAGTGACTGGTTTACGGTTTAAGCGATCGGACCGGTCGAACCGACGGGTTTCCCTCACCGTCATTTTTTATTTTATTTTTATTTCTTCATCTTCTTGAATCTTCACCTGTCCCTCATCAGCATCACCACCCCCTCCCCTCCCTTTATTTCTTTCTTCTCACCAAAAAACAACGCAGCCACACCACTATCTTTTTTTTTTCTTTATTTCTCACCATCTTCACCACATGTCCCTCACCATCACCATCACCACCCCTCCCCTCCCCTTATTTATTTTTTCTCACCAAAAACAACCCAGCCACACCATTATTTTTTTTCTTCTTTATTTCTTTATCTTCTTCACCACCCGTCTCTTACCATCACCATCACCAGCACCACCCACTCCCCTCCCCTCCCCTTATTTCTTTTTTCTCACCAAAAAACAATCCAGCCACAGATCTATAATAGATCTCCAAAACCTAACCGCCCCTTCACTTCTCTTCCACAGTCTCCAAAACCAAGCCAAATGAAACACAACTAAATGTCTAAACCAGAAAACCCACAGATCTCCGGATGGTGATGGGTGTTGTTATGCCTGGAAAAGTAGGGCTAACGTAGATCCCTATCAGCGTAAGTGGTCAGAGCTTAAGTAAGTCTAGTAGCCATTCAGGCGAAGCCATGTCGTACGCTGACGCAAGCGCCATGCTTCTGCCAGTGCAGTAGGTGTGCGCCAGGCTGGTGAAAGGCTGGAGGAGATCCACATGTCCAATCCCTGCAAGAGTTGAGTAAATCACTCGAGTAGGTGAGCAACGGGATGCTAGGAAGGATTTGCACGACAATCTGACCCACTTCCTGATTTAGTAATCATTACCTCAATTCATCCTCCTATAAATAAAGGGATCCTCTCCCGTTTGTGGGATTAGCTAATTTTTCTCTAGAATAGCATAAATACTTTCTCTTTCTCTCTCTCTCTCTCTCTCTCTCTCTCTCTCGCTTGTAACCTCTTGTAAATCAGCTCGCTGAACGTGACCTGATCTCAAATATATTAATACAATATTAGTGGACATAGGATTCGCTTACTTAAGCATCCGAGCCACTTTAAACACCGTTCTTCACTCTTTATTCAGCTCAATACCCCCTGTACACGTGTGTCTTTTGAGTCAGCTCAGCATTTCCCACGTGCGTTTAGTTGGTATCAAAATCATACATCAACAGTTTGACGCTAGAAGGACGGCCTGATTCAGTATTTGTCCTTCATCAGGAGAATCTTTAACGAATCGGTCCAACAGCAAATGACTCACAGATTCGAACTTGAGTGAACCAATCATGGTGAAGAAGGAATCCCCTAGGTGCAAGAGGTCACTTCTTCCAAAGTGCCCCGAGTTTTGCAAAATCTTGTGGGGGATATTCCTTCAAGCTCACGGCTTGATCTAGCCATCATGAGCTACCTAGAGAGGTTCAACAATACTCTTCAAACGGTCAACCAAAGGCTGGACCGTTTGGATCGGGTTGCACCACCTGAATCAAATGAGGCGGTGCCACCGTCGAAAACGCCTGTAAGTCACATGAAAGCACAGAAAAGGGCAATAGCCTGTGCCGCGTGCACTGCAGCTCATCAAAGGAAGGGAAAGCAGGTGGCGAACAACAGGCCTAGAGGCTATGAGGGACCAGCGAACACCAACCACACCCTAAGAAGAATACCTGTGGCGCA